AAGGAGCCTTATGATAATCCTCAAGACCATGGGGAAAATGTCTCCAGGCCATGTCAGAGACCTTTATAGCAGTCCCTCCCATCACAGACCCAGAGGTCTAGGAGGAAAAAGTGGTTTTGTGGACCAGGCCCAGGGTCCCTGAGCTATGTGTAGCCTAGGGGCTTGGTCCTATTGTGCAAGCCGCTCCAGCCGTGGCTGAAAGGGGCCAATGTATAGCTCACGCTGTGGCTTCAGAGGTGGAAGCCCCAAACCTTGGCACTTTCCATGTGGTGTTGAGCCTGCGGGTGCACAGCAGTCAAGAACTGAGGTTTGGGAACCTCCACCAAGATTTCAGAAGATGTATGGAAATGTCTGGATACCCAGAAAAGTTTGCTGTAGGCGTGGGGCCCTCATGGAGAACCTCTATTGGGGTAGTATGGAAGGGAAATGTGGGGTTGGAGCCCCCACATAGAGTCCCTACTGGGGTATCATCTAGTGGAGCTGTGAGAAGAGGGTGACCATCCTCCAGCCCCCAGAATGGTAGATTCACCTACCATTGCACCATGCACCTGGAAAAGCCACAGACACTCAACCCAGCCTGTGAAAGCAGCCAGGAGGGAGGCTGTACCCTGCAAAGCCACAGGGGTGGAGCTGCCCAAGACCATGGGAACCGACCTCTTGCCTCACTGTGATCTGGATTTGAGACATGAAGTAAAAGGGGATCATTTTAAGATTTGACTGACCCACTGGATTTTGGACTTGCATGGGGCCCACAGCCCCTTTGTTTTGGACAATTTATCCCATTTGGAATGGCTGTATTTATCCAATGCCTGTACTCCCATTGTCTCTGAAAAGTCACTAACTTGCTTTTGATTTTACAGGCTCATAGAGGGAAGGGACTTGCCTTGTCTCAGATAAGACTTTGGAGTGTGGACTTTGAGTTAATACTTTGGGGAACTGGTGGGAAGACATGATTGGTTTTGAAATGTGAGGACATGAGATTTGGAGGGGCCAGGGGAGTGGAATATGGTTTGGCTGTGTCCCCACCCAAATCTCAACTTGAACTATATTTCCCATTATTACCACATGTTGTGGGAGGGACCCAGGGGGAGGTAACTGAACAATGGAGGCTGTTTTTTCTTGTGCTCTTCTCATGATAGTAAGTCTCATGAGATCTGATGGGTTTATCAGGGGTTTCTGCTTTTGCTTCTTCCTCATTTTTTTTTTTTTTTTTTTTTTTGAGACAGATTTTTTACTCATCACCCAGGCTGCAGTGTAATGGCCTGATCTTGGCTCACCACAACCTCTGCCTCCCAGGTTCAAGCGATTCTCCTGCCTCAGCCTCCTGAGTAGCTGGAATTACAGGCATGCACCACCATGCATGACTAATTTTTTTGTATTTTTTGTAGAGGCTTCACTATGTTGGTCAGGCTGGTCTTGAACTCCTGACCACAGGTGATCCACCCACCTTGGCCTCCCAAATCCCAGGCTCACACCTGGTATTACAGGTGTGCACCACCATGCCCAGCCCTTCCTCATTCTCTCTTGCTGCTGCCGTGTAGGAAGTGCCTTTTGCCTGATTGTAAGACTTCCCCAGTCACGTGGAACTGTAAGTCCAATTAAACCTCTTTCTTTTGTAAATTGCCCAGTCTGGGTATTTCTTTATCAGCAGTGTGAAAACGGACTAATACAGTGCCCTAGGCTGGGAGCTGCGTAGGGGTAGAGGGATAGCCCTGAAGCTACAGGAAGTCAACAGGTGCAGCTGGTAAAGACCTTAAGACCTTTTGGTTTAAAATATCTGCTTCTCTGGTTTAAAATGTTTATCTCTGGCCAGGCACAGTGGTTCACGCATATAATATCAGCACTTTAGGAGGCTGAGGTGGGCAGATCACCTGAGTTCAGGAGTTCAAGACCAGACTGAACAACATGGTGAAACCCTGTCTCTACTAAAATTACAAAACTTAGCCAGGCATGGTGATGGGCACCTGTTATCTCAGTTACTCAGGAGGCGGAGGTTGCAGTGAGCCGAGATCACACCACTGCACTCCAGCCTGGGCAACAGAGCAAGACTCTATCAAAAATAAATAAATAAATAAATACATAAATAAATAAAATGAAATGTTTATTTCTATTTGTCTCTACCCTCCTGAAAAATGGCTTTATGCAAGGTAAGTCATTATAAGAATGGTTTCTTGGTTAACTATTAGAGATCCTCCAGCTTGCTAGTAGAGGTGTGATTAATTTTTTTTTTTTTTTTTGAGATGGGAGTCTTGCTCTGTTGCCCAGGCTGGAGTGCAGTGGTGTGATCTTGGCTCACTGCCACCTCTGCCTCCCGGGTTCAAGTGATTTTGCCTCAGCCTTCTGAGTAGCTGGGATTACAGGCATCTGCCACCATGCCTGGCTAATTTTTTGGTATTTTTAGTAGAAATAGGGTTTCACCATGTTGTGAAATGTCCAAGCTAGTCTTGAACTTATGACCTCAGGTGATCCATCCGCCCTGGCCTCCCAAAGTGCTGGGATTTGGCCACCACCCTCGGCCAAAATTTTTTACACCTCTTGTCTATTGCACATGCAAAATTGCCTTTTTTTTTTTTTTTTTTTTCTGATATAGAGTCTTGCTCTGTCATCCAGGCTGGAGTACAGTGGCACAATCTCAGCTCACTGCAAGCTCCACTTCCCAGGTTCAAGCAATTCTCCTGCCTCAGCCTCCTGAATGGCTAGGATTACAGGCACGCACCACCACGCCCAGCTAACTGTATTTTTAGTAGAGACAGGGTTTCACCATGTTGGCCAGGCTGGTCTTGAACTCCTGACCTTGTGATCCACCCGCCTTGGCCTCCCAAAGTGCTGGGATTACAGGTGTGAGCCACCGCACCCAGCCACCTTTTTCTTAATGTTATCTAGTTCTCAATAATTTTATTCTCTATGAGTAGAATGCCCAAGTGTATGCCCAGCCACGTTGAGAGAAATGTAAATTAAAACAATTGACACTTCTATTAAAGCAATCCCCAACCCACTCTCCAAACCCCACCCCAAGCATCGTATCAGCAAAAAATGTGAGGCTATAACACAGCTAGTTGTGGTACAGGTTGGTAATCTAAACCCTTTATAGTAGACTGCTGCCTGCCTACCCAATATCTACTCTCCCCTTTTAAAATAGAACTCCACTTTTGTTAGGAGTAGCAATGTATCCAGGTACATCTTCCAGCATTCTTTACAATTAGGGCTGGTCATATGTCATAATTCTGGCCAATGAGATATTAAGTTGAGGGTTTCTTAAAATGCTGTGCTCCCCAGATACAAACAACAAGAAGGGGTGGTGCCATTTCCCTCCCTGGAGTGTAGATATGAGGCAAGAGATAAAGAAACCATACTTCATAACTGAAAAGATGAAAACTGCCTACTAAAATGATGAAAGAGAAATCTGGATGGAGCCCAGAATATTTAAGACATTGTAAAGCTGCTGCACCATCCTGAACTTCTCACACCAGAATTATATGAAAAACAAAAACAATTTTAGAAACAGTTTAGCCAAGTTTTCAAATGCAGTATTAACTGATAGACTCTTATGGCTTGTCTACTTTTGGGAACTTTTGATTAAAGAAAAAAAGTTTGAAAAAAGAAAAAGTTGCGTACATGAAGATATCAGTGTAGTATTTTTTTATATTAGGTTAGCACTGAAAATAAAATTAGATATCCAACAATGAGAAAATTTTTAAGTACTTAGGACTGCAATTTTATAGTGAGCTTTATGGGCTGGGCACAGTGGCTCATGCTTGTAATCCCAACACTTTGGGAGGCAAAAGTGGGCGGATCATTTGAGGTCAGGAGTCTGAGACCAGCCTGACCAACATGGTGAAACCCTGTCTCTTCTAAAAACACAAAAAAATTAGCTGGGTGTGGTGGGGCATGCCTGTAGTCCCAGCTACTCAGGAGGCTGAGGCAGGAGAATCACTTGAACCCAGGAGGCAGAGGTTGCAGTGAGGCGAGATTGCATCACTGCACTCCAGCCTGGGTGACAGAGCGAGACTCGTCTCAAAAACAAACAAAAATAATAATAAAGTGAGCTTTATGAAGACATTACAGAAAAGATTCAAATATAAAATGTCTTCTGTTCTAATTATAACTAGTGGCAAAACTGTTGGTTGTCTCATCCATGGTAATTCCCAATCCCCATTTTGCTTTCCCACCTTCCATTAGTGAGATTGGAAAGGCTTACAATTTCATTTTCCCACTTTCCTGGGAACAAGGGGTGATCATGTTGTACATTTACGGCTAGTAGATGAACACAAGTCTGATCTAAATTTCTAGAAAAGGTTTTACGTTTATGAGAAAAGGATCAGATGTGGAAGGCACTGCTTCCCCTTCTTTTTGTCTTGAATACAGCAGACACATTGGCTTGAACTGCAATGGCCATCTTATTTCCATGACGGAAAGGCTAAAGGAATCTGAGACCTTGATATCACTGAGTCACTAAACCAATGCCAGTGGCCAGCTCCTTTAGACTTCTTGTTATCTGAGAAAAATAAACCCCTATTTGAATAACCATTGCCACTTGGATCTTTTGTGTTACTTAAAGCAGAAAACATTCCTACCTGATACAGAAATAGATAAATTATAAGTGATATAAACAAAACAGTTGACCTGTTAGAGTATTTTTGAAAATGATTTGTTAGATAAAGTTCTGTTTGTGCAATAAAGCATTTAAAAATAAAAGTATTGAGGCCAGGCATGGTGGCTCATGCCTATAATCCCAGCACTTTGGGAGGCTGAGGCGGGCGGATCACCTGAGGTCAGGAGTTCGAGAGCAGCCTGGTCAACATGGTGAAACCCTGTTTCTACACAAAACTTAGCCAGGTGTGGTGGCGGGTGCCCGTAGACCCAGCTACTCAGGAGCCTGGGGCAGGAGAATCACTAATCACTTGAACCTGGGAGGCAGAGGTTGCAGGGAGCTGAGATCCTGCCACTGCACTCCAGCCTGGGTGACAGAGCGAGACTCCGTCTCAAAAAAAAAAAAAAAGTACTGTTTGATTAATTTTATTGCTGATTATGAACACATTTGCCATTTAATGCAGATTATTTTAATTCTGATGCTAAGGCCATCCATTGTCTTTTGTTAGGACTCAAATAAAATTTTAGCAACCAAAACATATTTTCAATAAAATTTTCTATGTATATAAAGAAATAACAACAAAAAACAAAAAAAGAACAAAACAGCACCAAGAACCTATGTAAAATTTCATCATACAATTTCTATGCAAGCTGCTTGATTACAGAAAACTGTTCAAACTGTTTATCAAAAATTGAGTGGGATTTTCCATTGATATTTCAGATATTCAAATCAATACAACCTATATTCTGAGTATCAATCTGAATTGCATAGGTTAAGATGTGAACCCTTCACAGAGTGTTGAAGATGTGTTGCAATCTGTACTTGAATTGGCACTGCTTTCCTCAGAGTTAGGCTGCCTTCATGAGAAATATCTTCTATCCCTGAGAGATCAGCTACATCAAGATGGCTCATCAGCTAAATCACGTTGGTCAAAATACCTAGTAAACAAAAAACAAAAACAATTTGTGTATAAAGATATTAACTGTAGCACTATTTTTAACAGGCAAAGACCACAAGCAACCCAAACGTTCATCAATAAGAGACTGGTTAAATAAGCTATGGTATGTTTACACAGTGGAAAATTATGAAGCCATAAAAAGGGAAACAAGGGAAATATACTGCTAAAGTATGAGGAAAATATTTATATTGCTAAAGTGTAATTTCCAGGATTTATTAAGTGAAAAAAACGAAGTACAGAACAGATTGTTCTGGATGCTACCTACCTTATGTGAGTATGTGTAGGATTGCAAATATACATGTTTGTTTATGTTTTTCTTTTCCTTTTTTTTTTTTTTTTTTGAGACAAGATCTTACTCTGTCACTCAGGCCGGAGTGCAGTGGCATGATCCTGGCTCACTGCCCAGACTGGTCTTGAACTCCTGGGCTCAAACAATTCTCCAGCCTCAGTCTCTCAAAGTGCTGGGATTACAGGCATGAGCCACCACACCTGGCCTACTTATACTTTTAAAAAGAAACAATGAATGAAAAGATAAAACAAAAATTAGTAATAAAATGGTTAACTAGAGGAGAAAGAAGAAAACAGGATAATGAGGATAAAGATGGATGCTAAAATACTCCAAATGTACCCTGAATTACAATTTTAACTTTGGCAAGGTTAACTATTTTATGTAATTATAAGATTAAATAAAAAGGAAAATCACTAATCAAATTCTGTCATGGCTCACTGCATTCTTGAACCCCCGGACTCAAGCAGTCCTCCCACCTTGACCTCCCAAAGCACTGGGATTACAAGTGTGAGTCACTGTGCCCGGCTTTCTTTCTTTTTTTTTTTTCTTTTTTTTGAGATGGAGTTTCATTCTTGTTGCCCAGGCTGGAGTGCAATGGCATGATCTCGGCTCACTGCAACCTCTGCCTCCCAGGTTCAAGTGATTCTCCTGCCTCAGCATCTTGAGTAGCTGGGATTATAGGCATGCACCACCAGGCCCGGCTAATTTTTTATTTTTAGTAGAGACGGTTTCGCCATGTTGGCCAGGCTAGTCTTGAACTCCTGACCTCAGATGATCCACCAGCCTCAGCCTCCCAAAGTGGTGAGATTACAGGCATGAGCCACCATGCCCGGTCCTTTTTTTCCTAAACTTTCAAATCTTTATGTTCTCTTTTGTAAAGTGTTACCTTCAGAACCTTTTGTAGTCTAGAACTTTTTCCATTTTTATCTAACTTTTTGAGGGCAAAAAATACACTTGAATGTTTTTGCTTTCATAATTGCATAGTACTGTAAAATCTCAATTGAGGCAGTCAGAAACTATACTTGTCTCAGGTTTCATTAATTACTGGTTTGCTGAGCCACCAATTAACCTTTCTGAATCTGTGTCATTATCTGTAAAAGCAAAAAAATCAAATCCAACAGAGCTGAAAGGAAAAAATTTATTAAAACAAAAACAACAAAAAAACACAACTCTGAGCTGTTGTAAAGAGTAGAGATACTACACATAAAGTAACTAGGGCAATGTTATATCATCCCATTTAACTGCTGCTACCAACAGATGAGGCAGGTATTAGCTTCATTTGTGATCAGCATAGTTAAAAGCTTAGCTCCGGAGTCAAAGTTGCCTGGGTTTGGATCCTAACTCTAACACTTACTAGCTTTGTGATGGTAGTAATGTTATTTAACCTGTCTCTGCCATGGTTTCCTCATCTGTAAACTGGTAACAGTACCCACCTCAGGAGGATTAAATGGGTTCCTCAATAAGAAAAATGCTTGGCACAAATTGCCCAGTAAATATTAATTATCATCAGCAGCATAATTATTGTAGATCAAGAAACTAGATATTGAATATGTGAAAATATGGAAACAAGATTACTTGCCTTCCCGATATTTAAGTATATTATAAAGCTTTAAAAAGGTACTGGCATTGGAATAAAAACACTGATCTATGGAACAAAAATATGTCCACGAGGAGACCTAAAATAAATATGTGTGTTTTATTGCCTGGCCAGTATGGTGAAACCCTGTCTCCACAAAAATACAAAAATTAACCGGGCATGGTGGTGGGTGCTTGTAATCCCAGCTACTTGGGAGGCTGAGGCGGGAGAATCGCTTGAACCTGGGAAGTGAAGGTTGTAGTGAGCTGAGATGGTGCCATTGCACTTCAGGATGGGCAAAAGAGCGAGACTCTGTCTCAAAACAAAACAACAAAGTTTTCAAATAAATTCCAAGAAGAATTTCTATGTAAGAAATGAAATCAAACAGATGCTAAATAAAAATACACCACAACTGAAAATGAACACAGGACACAGGCAATTAAAAAAAAATGCAGGCTGAGTGCAGTGGCTTTACGCCTGTAATCCCAGCACTTTGGGAGGTTTAGGTGTGAAGATCGCTTGAGCCCAGGAGTTTTGAGACCAGCCTGGGCAACATAGTGAGACCCTGTCTCTACAAACAATTTTTTTAATTAGCTGGGTGTGGTAGTGCTTGATTGTGGTCCTAGCTACTCAGGAGGCTGAGGTGGGAGGATTGCTGGAGCCCAGGAAGTTAAAGTTGTAGTGAGCTGTGATTGTGCCACTGCACCCTAACTATAGCAACAGAGTGAGACCTGGTCTCAATAAAAACAAACAAACAAAAAACAAATGTAATAAATACATCCTACCCTCACTGACCTCACTGATATACAAATAACAAAGAAGCCAAGGATTAACTATACCTGCTAACCAAGCAGATTAATAAATTCAAAGCAGGAACCCTCTCATCATCTTTGCTATCCTAAAAAAAAAAAAAGAAAGAAAAATTTAAATATTGTCTGTTCCTATTATTTTTGAAATAAATTTCCTATTAAGATGTAAAACATGAAACATGAAAACTTTATTATATGACAGTAATCATCATGTGGAAACAGGAGCCCTCAAAGAAAAAGGAGAAAACTGTGGAGTTAATGATTCCTTGAGAAACATCTAAGACTATCTTTTAAATCAAGATTCTGAATAGGGAAAAAAAAAAAAGTTGAGGGATCTAAGGGGGATAACTTGGGGGAAATTTTTCCCTGGTTCCTACTAGAGGAACAATAAGAATCCTATGTCTTAACTGTACAGTGATGAATATATATATATATTCATATATGTATCATATATTAATATGCAATACATAATATATTAATATATTGTGCCTTAACTATAGTGAATATATATTCATATATAATAAATAAATATGAAAATAATACATCTATGAATATATATATTCATCACTGCAGTCAAGACACAGGATTGTTTCTATATAATGCATACAATATATGTGAGGATATATAGAATATATATGTGTATATATAATGTATATATATTCATCACTGTATAGTCAAGACACAGGATTCTTATTGTTCTTATATGTATTCATTACTGAATATATATATGCCAGGCGTGATAGCTCATGCCTATAATCCCAGCACTTTGGGAGGCTGACGTGGGTAGATCACCTGAGGTCAGCAGTTCGAGACCAGCCTGGCCAACATGGTGAAACCGTGTCTCTACTGAAAATACAAAAATTAGCCAGGCATGGTGGTGGGCGCCTGTAATCTCAGCTACTCCAGGGGCTGAGGCAGGAGAATCGCTTGAACCTGGGAAGTGGAGGTTGCAGTGAGCTGAGACCGCACCATTGTACTCCAGCCTCGGTGACAGAGCGAGACTCCATCTCAAAAAAAAAAAAAAAAAAAAAATGGCTGAAGCTACAGCAGCCATCTTGGATCATGAGATAAGCATGAGGATGAAAGCCACATATGACAAAACTCAAAGGTCTAGGTTATTGCCATCTTAGTAAAAATCTAATTTTTTTACCTACTTTTTTTTTGGAGACAGAGTCTCACTCTGTTATCCAAGCTGGAGTGCAGTGGTGCGATCTCAGCTCACTGCAACCTCCGCCTCCTGGGTTCAAACAATTCTCCTGCCTCAACCTCCTGAGTAGCTAGGATGACAAGCACCCACCACCATGCCCGGCTAAATTTTGTATTTTTAGTAGAGATAGGGTTTCACCATGTTGGTCAGGTTGGTCTCAAACTCCTGACCTCAGGTGATCCACCCACCTCAGCCTCCCAAAGTGCTGGGACTACAGGTATGAGCCACCACACCTGGCCCAGACTTTCTTTATGTCAGAAAACATTTCCATATTATTTAAGCTACTATTATTTTGGGCTTTACAAATCTAACTGCAACCAATAAAATATTCCATGTGTTTTCTTATTTCACTGAACTCCTTCTTTACCACCATATAAATTGGTGGGTGCTTTTAATTTTAAACAGTAAGTTGCAACTTACCACTAAGAGCCTCACTTCGGAGCACCTTCTTGCAAGCTGCCGAATCAGTGAATGAGCCTCAGGTAATAAAGGTTTTTCAAGACAAGCCAATAAAGCATAAAGCCATCTTCCCTAAAAAAAAATTCAAAAAAGTAACATTTAGACAAATACTGAACCAGAAGTTTATTTTTTAAATGTCCAGTGTTATGCCTGATTATCTGCTATGAATAAATTCATAGAACATTTAACTATATTATATTTGGGTATAGATAACAAAGCCTCATTTGGAGAGCCAGGTGTTATCTCTTGTATCCTATAATTACAGACACAGGACATTGGATACCTCAAAATATTCCCTGATCTCCGAAGAGTTTGTTTCAGATATTCCTTATGACAGGAAGTTCTCATTTGTAAGCAGAAAACTACATTAAGATGAATATAAATACTTGAAAAAAATTAAGATTTTTTTTTTCTTTGTTCTGTATGGACAGATATATAAATCATTTTCTAATTGTATAATTTTGTCCTCTGGGGACATACAAACTATACCACAGATGAAATAATCTTTTGACACTTCTATAAATACTAACAGGCTGAATGTATCCCCACTCCCTTTTAAAATGGGGTTTTCAGTTACAAAATGAACACATATTTGATGCAGAAAAACTGTGAAGAATACCACAAGGACAAGAAAAAACAAACCTGCAATCCCAACATTCCAGATAAAACTTTGACTCACTTTTAAAATGTTCTTGTTTTTCCTATTTGTATGTATGACTTTCTTTTTTTTTTGAGACGGAGTTTCGCTCTTGTTGCCCAGGCTGGAGTGCAATGGTGTGATCTCGGCTCACTGCAACCTCCACCTCCTGGGTTCAAGCAATTCTCCTGTCTCAGCATCCCAAGTACCTGGAATTACAGGCGTGCACCACCACACCCAGCTAATTTTGTATTTTTAATAGAGATGAGGTTTCACCGTGTTGTTCAGGCTGGTCTCGAACTCCTGACTTCAACTGATCCATTTGCCTCAGCCTCCCAAAGTGGTAGGATTACAGGCGTGAGCCACTGTGCCTGGCTGTACAACTGTTTTCAATACAGTTTCATCAGTTGTAATATCATCTTGTAGCCATCTTTTTTATTTATAATACATAATAAAATGTTTACCATGTTGTTTTTGTCTTTTTTTTTTTTTTTTTTGAGATGGAGTCTCACTCTGCCACCCAGGCTGGAGTGCAGTGGTGCCATCTCGGCTCACTGTAACCTATGCCTCCCAGGTTCAAGCAATCCCCCTGCCTCAGCCTCCTGCGTAGCTGGGACAACAGGTGACTGCCACCATGCCCAGCTAATTTTTGTATTTTTAGTAGAGATGGGGGTTTCACCATGTTGGCCAGGCTGGTGTCAACCTCCTGACCTCAAGTGATCCACCTGCCTCAGCCTCCCTAAGTGCTGGGATTGAAGGAGTGAGCCACCCCACTCAGCCATCCCATGTAGTTAAATGGGATTAACAAGGGAATGTTAAGTGTCTGGTTGAGAGTATTTAATAACATCTCCTTGTTTAATCTCATTTAACAACATGGGGAAAGTTTATTAAGTATTGCAAGTAAAATGGTGACAAAGGGTATGTATATTCATCAAGGTTTTTCAGATATGATCACCGGATTGTATCCTGGAAAGGTTATACCAAATTTGTATTTCCACCAGTACTATATACAACTTCATTTATTCTGAGCAACATATCACTTTGGGGAAACCTAAAAAATATTAGGACAAAATTTAAATAGCAATTTATACAACACACTAAGATGGTTTCCTCGGGCAAACCCAAATCAATAGTTAAGACTTTCTTACACAGGAAGATTCAAATCCAGGTTTCTTTTACAACTTGTGGAATTCTTTTTCTATAAAAAAAAAAAATTATATGTTTCAACTTGACTCAAATTTTAAGGGATATATTTAATATGTAAAGCTAGCATTCGGATATTAAATATTCTCTATACTTGTCTGCAACAAGATAAGGAGTTTGTACATTGTACCGGGATATATATCAACTCTTTCACTGACATTTTTTCTCAAAGTAAGACTTTCTCAATGAAGGAAGTAGTATATTGATTTACATTCTAGTGTTTGACTACAAACAAGCATAGTTCAGATTATACATACACATACACACACACACACACACATATATAAATGTAAACACTGGCTGGGCACAGTGGCTCATGCCTGTACTCCCAGCACTTTGAGAGGTGGAGATGGGCAGATCACCTGAGATCACAAGTTCAAGACCAGTCTGGCCAACATGGAGAAAACCTGTCTCTACAAAAATACAAAAATTAGCCAGGTGTAGTGGCAGGCACCTGTAATCCCAGCTACTTGGAAGGCTGAGGCAGGAGAATCGCTTGAAACCAGGAGGCAGAGGCTGCAGTGAGCCAAGATGGCGCCAATGTACTCCAGCCTGGGCGACAGAGGGAGATTCCATCTCAAAACAAACAAATAAATAAAAAATAAATAAATACTGTAGCATCATATCTCATATATAAGTATAGTCATGCGTCACTTAATGAAGGGGGATATATTCGGAGAAATGTGTTGTTAGGTGATTTTTGTCCCTGGATTAACATCACAGAGTGTACTTACACAAACCTAGATGGTATAGTCTACTATACACCTAGACTATATTGCATAGCCAATTGCGCCTAGGCTACAAACTTATATAGCACATTACTGTACTGAATACTGTAGGCAACTGTAACATAATGGTAAACATTTGTGCATCCAAAAAAACCATATATTTTTTAAGATAGGGTGTCACTTTGTCACTCAGGCTAGAGTGCAGTGGCACAATCATAGCTCACTGCAGCCTCAACCTCCCTGGCCTTAGGTGATTCTCCTGCCTCAGCCTCCCTAGTAGCTGGGATTACAGGCATGAGCCACTGTGCCTGGCCACATCTAAACATATTTAAACACTGGAAAGGAGCCGGGTTCAGTGGCTCATACTTGTAATCCAAACAGTTTGGGAGGCCAAGATGGGAGGAACACTTGAGCCTAGGAGTTTGAGATCAGCCTGGGGAACATAGTGAGACCTCATCTCTATTTAAAAAACAAAAAAGGCCACGCATGGTGGCTCATGCCTGTAATTCCCAGCATTTTGGGAGGCCGAGGAGGGAGGATCATTTGGACTAAGTTCAAGACCAGCCTGGGCAACATAGTGAGAGCTTGTCTCTAGTTTAAAAAAAAAAAAAAAAGCTGGGCGTGGCTGTGTGCACCTGTAGTACCAGCTACTCAGGTCGAGGCAGGAGGATTGCTTGAGCTGGGGAGATCAAGGTTGCAGTGAGCTATGATCGCAATACTGCACTCTGGGTAACAGAGCGAGACCTTGTCTCAAAAAAAAAAAAAGTGCAGTAAAAATACGATATTATAATCCTATGGGAGCACCACTGTGTATGTGGCTCATAGTTGACCCAAAACATCTAATTTTTGCCTACATTATGAAGAGAAAAACATGCAATACTACCAATTCCGGAGTAAAGTCTCTTTCTCCAAACCAATTACTCAGATATTCCAAGACACTAGTTACTGTTGCCTAAAAAAAAGGAAGGGGTGGAGAAGAGTTGTATTAATAATAAAACACAAATTGAACATGAGTTTCATTAAGTTTCTTTAGAAAGCAACTCCGATGTTAAAAATGGCCTCATTCTTTAAATTTTCAAAGAAAGCTAATTCTTTTGACTCTAATTAGTTTGATTAGATGGCTTATCCCATGACGCTTTTTTTTTGAGATGGAGTCTCCCTCTGTTGCCCAGGCTGGAGTGTAGTGGCGCGATCTTGGCTCACTGCAATCTCCGCCTCCTGGGTTCAAGCAATTCTCCTGCCTGAGCCTCCTGAGTAGCTAGGATTACATGCGTGCGCCACCATGTCTGGCTAATTTTTGTATTTTTAGTAGAGGAGGAGTTTCTCCATGTTGGTCAGACTGGTCTGGAACTCCCGACCTCAGGTGATTCGCCTGCCTCAGCCTTCCAAAGTGCTGGGATCACAGGTGTGAGCCATGGCGCCTAGCTCCAGTGAGGCTTTTAAAACAAATATTTTCACACTTTCAAATATCAACTAACACCTTGGTTTAAATCCCAGGATTTAGTTTGTAACTATTAATAATTTAGTTTGTAACTACTTGAAAGACTTCACAAGGTTAAAAAAAAAAATGTATTTGTGGCCAGGCTCAGTGGCTCATGCCAGTAATCTCAGCACTTTGGGAGGCCGAGGCAGGTGGATCACTTGAGGTCAGTTTGAGACCAGCCTGGCCAACATGATGAAACCCTATCTCTACTAAAAATACAACAATTAGCCGGGCGTGGTGGTGAGTGAATGTAGTCCGAGCTACACGCGAGGCTGAGGCCAGGGAATCCCTTGAACCTGGGAGGCGGAGGTTGCAGTGAGCCGAGGCTGTGCCACTGCACTCTAGCCTGGGTAACAGAGTGAGACTCTGTCTCAAAAAAAAAAAAAAAAAAAAAAAAAGGCCTCGTACAATGGCACACCTGAGGCGAGGAGTTTGAGACCAGCCTGGCCAACATGGCAAAACCCCATCTCTACTAAAAATACAAAAATTAGCCAGCCATGGTGGCAGGCATCTGTAATCCCAGCTACTCGGGAGGCTGAAACAGGAGAACTGCTTGAACCCAGGAGGTGGAGGTTGCAGTGAGCTGAGATCCTGCCACTTCACTCCAGCCTGGGCAAAAGAGCGACACTCTGTCTCAAAAAAAAAAAAAAAAAAAAAAGATGTATCTATAAAAATACCATCAGTTGGCCAGGCGTGGTGGCTCACGCCTGTAATACCAGCACTTTTGGAGGCCGAGGCAGGTAGATCACGAGGTCAGGAAATCGAGACCATCCTGGCCAACATGGTAAAACCCTGTCTCTACTAAAATTCAAAAAATAGCTGGGCGTGATGGTGTGCACCTGTAGTCCTAGCTACTAGGGAGGTTGAGGCAGGGAAATTGCTTGAACCCGGGAGGTGGAGGTTGCAGTGAGCCGAGATCGTGCCACTGCACTCCAGCCTGGCGACAGAGAGAGACTCCGTCTCAAAAAAAACAAAAAAACCAACCCATTAGTTTATTTCCAAATCCAAATTAAATCGAAGTACACATCTGAAGAAAAAATTAGCTGGAGAAAGATGTTTTTAAACTATACAGATGGATTTATCAAACTCTTGAAAATATTCTCTGGTTTATTCAAATACAGTTGATGGTTACAACAAAAATGACACTGATGGAATTTAGTATGACTGCTACAATATCTTAATGCAAATGATTAAGTAAAACTGTCAACCTGTGTATTATTTCCAATAGAATATAGCCCACAAAAAAAATATGGCCAACAGGCTGGGCCCAGTGGTTCACACCTGTGTTCCCAGCACTTTGGGAGGCTGAGGTATGAGGATAGCTTGAGCTCAGGAGTTCCAGACCAGCCTGGGCAACACAGTGAGACCTGTCTCTACCAAAAATAAACAAACAAAATTAGCCAGGCATGGTAGCACATGTCTGTGGTCCCAGCTACCAGGAGGCTGAGGTGGGAGGATTGCCTGACCCCCAGAGTACAAGACTGCAGTGAGCCAAGATCACACCACTGTACTCCAGCATGGGCAACAGAATGAGACCCTGTCAAAAAAAAAAAAAAAAAAAAAAAAAAAAAAAAGGCTTCCAAAGGTACCCACTGCTATGTGAAGATACAATTTTTTATTTGCTTTTAAAATGAGTAATAGAGTCCTTGCTCCTAAAAAACTAAAGAACCAAACTCCATAATTCTCCCCTTTTGGTCCAAGAAATTATGTATTTCAATCTTTTTTTTTTTTTTTGAGAGTCTCGTCCTGTTGCCCAGGCTGGAGTGCAATGGCGTGATCTTGGCTCACTGCAACCTCCACCTCCCCGGTTCAAGCGATTCTCCTGCCTCAGCCTCCCGAGTAGCTGGGATTACAGGTGTGTGCCTCCACGCCCAGCTATTTTTGTATTTTCAGTAGAGACAGGGTTTCACTATGTTGGCCAGGCTGGTCTCGAACTCCTGACCTCGTGATCTACCCACCTCAGCCCCACAAAGTGCTGGGATTACAGGAGTGAGCCACTGGGCCCAGCCCATATTTCAGTCTTAATAGAATGTACAGGACATCTAGAACTAGAAATAGCAATCTAACCTTAGTACAGATGCCCCTGAACTTGCAATGGCGTTATGTGCTGATAAACACATTGTAAAGTTGAAAATTCCTAAATTGGCTGGGCATGGTGGCTCATGCCTGTAATCCCAGCGCTTTGGGAGGCCAAGGTGGGCGGATCACTTGAGGCCTGGAGTTTGAGACCAATGTGGCCAACATGGTAAAACCGTCTCTACTAAAAATACAATAATTAGCCAGGCATGGTGGGGAAAAAAAAATCCTAAACTGAACCATTGTAAGTCAGGGACCTTGTATTTAATTCAAATCCCAGAATCTAAGACTTATAACTGAAATCTACAGAAATTAATACTCTAGCACCATGATTAAGACAGAGCATGAGCTCTGGAGTTAGATCTACCTGGCACTGAATCCCAGTACTGCCATTTACTTGCTGAAAAACCACCTGCAAGTTACTTAACCTCAAATGCAGTTTCCTCATCTATAAAAAGTAGATATCAACAACTCCCCATAGAGGGTTGTAGTAAGGATTAAATAAGAACCATTACAGAGCTTAGGACAAAGTCTTGCATACTATAAGAATTCAGTAAATGTATTAATAATTCAAATACTTTCACACACAATGCAAACGAAATAATACATATATCTTTATTATTAATTTTACCTGATTCATTCTGCTAACAATACTAAGCAAGGGGGGAAAACCAATCTGAAAGAAAAAATGAGACTGAAATTTACTAAATGGTATTATAAAGAAAAGCTTCTTTTTTTTTTTTTTTTCCAAACTGGTGAATTTCTTGCCACACTGTTGTTTAGAAACAAAGAACAAATAAAAGAAAATTATTTCATTGTCCATTACAGTAAGACATTCCGGAAACTACTATGTTGGTAATGTGGAAAAAAATAATGTCTTAAAATTTGAATATGTAATTTTTTTTTTTTAAGATGAGGTCTCACTCTGTCACCCAGACTGGAGTGTGGTGGCGCGATCTTGGCTCACTGCAACCTCCGCTTCCTAGGCTCAAGTGATGCTCCCACCTCAGCCTCACTAGTAGCTAGGGCCACAGGTGCGTGTCACCACGCCCACCTAATTTTTTTGTATTTTTGGTAGAGACGACATTTTGCCATGTTGCCCAGGTTTGTCTGGAACTCCTGAGCTCAAGTGATCTACCTGCCAGGGCCTCCCAAAGTGCTGTGATTACAGGCATGAGCCACCTCACCTGGCCTGAATATGTAAATTTTTAAATAAAGTATGATTTAGTAACTAAAATGTTAAAGACTAAAATTTTGTTAAATGACAGTACTTGAAAAAACTAACTTATTAAGTATATTCAGCAAAACTGTAACATATTGATGACATTAATATGTTGTACACACCATTTCAAAATCTTCAGCTAAAGCTAACATTTTCAAGAATTAAGGCCATTTGAATTAGAATGACATTTTTCAAACCTAATTTGATTCAATTTTTAAAAGTCTACTTTGGAGTCTGAGGCTGTGATTTCTAATTATTAAAATACCACTGATTTGTGAGAAACTTAAGAGGATATACATTAAACGCTTACTTTCTTAAGGGTTTTTTTTAACACGGTGTATTTTATTTGTATGTATTCTCTGAAAATAAGCTAAATAAGTAAGTTTTATTTCCTTATTAAATTAAAAACCATTTTTGGCCAGCCATGGTGGCTCATGCCTGTAATCCCAGCAGAAGGATTACCTAAGCCCAGGAGTTCCAGGCCAACCTGGCAACATGGCGAAAACTTCTCTCTACAAAAATTTTTTTTAAAAAATTAAAAATTTTTATCTTAAAAAATTAAAAAATTTATTGCTACAAAAAATTTAAAAATTAGCTGGGTGTGGTGGTGGGTGCGTGCTGCCCCTGCTACGTGGAAGGCTGATGTGGGACGATTGCTTGAGCCTAGGAGGTTGAAGCTGTAATGAGTCATGACTGCACTACTGCACTCCAGCCTGGATGACAGAAGACCCTGTCTCAAAAAAAAAAAAAAAAAAAAAAAAATATATATATATATATATATATATAACTATTTTTGAAATGTAGCATATATTAAGGATATCATCCAAAAGATCAACTGGTTACATAGAAAGTGTATCAAATTAACTTCCCTAAGATTTGAGTCTATTTACACTACTGTACCACATCTAAGAGTGCTTGTTTTCCCAGCTCTTGTCAATATGGTGTATCAAACTTTCATTGCCAATATGTTACCTGAAAAATAGCAACTTGGCATAGTTATGTTATACTTCTGTTACAAGTGATTTTTGGCATCTTGTCATATAAGAATAATTTTATTTCCTTTCTGTGAGGTATCTATATCCTTTGGCTGTTTTTTCTTGGGCAGGGGAGGGGTGATTCTTGGTCTTTTTATTGATTCTTGGGGCTCTTTACGTTTTTAGGAAAAATTAGTTTTAAATGGGAAAAATACAATGTGGCACCATATAGCAAATAATAAATACCTGTTGAACCGAAGAGAATGACATGCTAGAGGGAGTAAGCGCTAATGCAGAGGCATACACTAGATTTGAAAGGAACACCTGCAAACTTGGGGGCAGGTAAATCCTGAAGGACAAGGAGTTGGCTATATAACTTATGACTACAGTCACATGAATTTTAAAGATATCCTTAAAATTTCATCTTCAGAATATATGATTTACTTTTTTACAGGCCCATGAAATGATATTATGTGATTATGCATTTTAAAGCACCTAATTGTGTCAATTTCCATTTTTTCCCTGGCTACTCATAACACTGTTTGCCTGATGCCTCATCATTTTAAAACACCCTGAATCTTATCCAACTCATAAAATGATTACCAAGTCAAACATAAGGGATACGAAGCCAACCTAAAAAAAGTCACAGTAAATTGTTTCAGAAACTAAGCTACTTTGTTAGGTTGAAGAGCTAATAAACTAAGTCTGGGTTGCCAAACATTTTCTATCAAGAGTTAGACAGCAAATATTTTAGGCTTTGCAGGCCACATAAAGTCTCAGCCACATATTATTTGTTTCTTTTTTACAACCCTTTAAAAACTTAAAAACAATCCTTAGCTCATGGATATAAAAAAGGCCATGAACTGGACTTGGCCCAGGGTAGAGTTTGCTGACCCCTTATATTAAGTAATGCACCAAAATTAAAACGCTTTTTGTTCTGTTTATCGACACAGCCCTTACTTGTACATAATCTATTCCAGGACTTTCATTTGTGGCTGGTCCAACAGCCCCGTCAGCACATAACTTTTCACCCAGACAAAATTTCTTCCAGCCTTCTTCATCTTCAGATTTTGGCTAAAAGGAAAAAAAACCTCATTTATTCCTGTGTATTAATTTTTACACTGAACAGTAAAAAAAAAAAAAAGAAGTTAAGGCCTTCCATATTCCCATTACCTCCACCCAAAGATAGGGTGCCAGTTATGGGGAGAATCTCTGTCCCCAAAATTTGTATGTTAAAACCCTAAACTCCAGTACCTCAGAATGTGACTGTATTTGGAGATAGGGCCTTTAAAGAAGTGATTAATTTAAATTGAGGCCATTAGGGTGAGCCCTAATCCAATCTTACTAGTGTCCTTTTAAGAGGAAATTTGGACTCACAAAGAGACACCAGGGACTCCCACACATAGAGGAAAGACCACGTGAGAAGACATGGAGAAAGTGGCCCTATGCAAGCCAAGGAGAAAAGCCTCAGAAGAGACCAACCTGAGGCCGGGTGTGGTAGTTCATGCCTGTAATCCCAGCACTTTGGGAGGCTGAGGCAGGCGGATCACATGAAGTCAGGAGTTCAAGACCAGCCTGGCCAACAGGGCGAAACCCCACCTCTACTAAAAATACACACAAAAAATTAGCCAGATGTGGTGACACACACCTGTAATCCCAGCTACGCAGAGGCTAAGGCAGGAGAATCATTTGAACCCGAGAGGCGGAGGCTGCAGTGAGCCGAGATTGCGTCATTGCACTCTAGCCTGGGCAACAAGAGCGAAACTCTGCCTCAAAAAAAAAAAAAAAAAAAGAGAGACCAACCTTGCTGCCACCTTGTTCTTGGACTTTCAGCCTTCAAGACTGTGAGAAAATAAATACATTTCTGTTGTTTAAACCACCTAGTCTGTTATGGCAGCCCTGACAAACATAGTGCCTAAGTGGCTACAAAATATGTGGGATATGTTGTTTTTTCTTATTATTACATTTTTTGAGATAGGGTCTTGCTCTGTCACCCAAGTTGGAGTGCAGAAGTGTGATTACAGTTCATTGCAGCCTGAATCTCCTGGGCTCAAACAATTCTGCCACCTCAGCCTCGAGTAGCTGGGACTACAGGCACACGCCACCATGCCTGATAATTTTTAATTTTTTTTGTAGAGATAGTTGTCTCACTATGTTGCCCAGGCTAGTCTCAAACTCCTGGCCTCAAGCAATTCTTCTGCTTTGGTTTCCCAAAGTGCTGAGATTACAAGTGTGAGCAACAGTGCCCAGCCAAGATGTGTTTAGTTTGGACAAGACTTTAATGGACACTGACAGACAAGGGTGTGTCCAAAAGAGGATGATAAAGACAGAAATAAGTACGGAGGAAAAATGCACCAAGAATGCTTAATAGAATGAAGGATGTTTATCCCATGTAAAGAGATGTGATTACATATTTCACATATCTGAAGGACTGTCCAATCAAAGAAGAAACAGATCTACTCACGCTGCCAGACAGAAAATTCAGGACTAGTTGGGAGAAGCATTCAGCTTAATATAACCTTCTTAACAAAACAACTTTTATTTGTACATATCACCTTGCACATTACTCTGCATAGGTGCATTTTCCCCCCCTAGGGATAAGTAGCTTTCATTAAATCCTTAGGATGAATCACCTGAGGTCAGGAGTTCGAGACTAGCCTGGCAATCTGGTGAAACCCCATCTCTCCTAAAAATAGAAAAATTAGCTGGGTGTAGTGGCGGATGCCTGTAATCCCAGCTACTTGGGAGGCTGAGGCAGGAAAATTGCTTGAACTCGAGAGGCAGAGGTTGCAGTGAGCCAAGATTGTGCCATTGTACTCCAGACTGGGCAATGAGAGCAAAACTCCATCTTAAAAAAATAAAATAAAATAAAAAATAAAATAAAATAAAACCTCATGATGAACATGAGACCACTACAAAGTTAAACCCTATTGTCTTGGAATAAGGTATCTACCTTTTCCTATCACTCCATCAGGTCAGAAACTGCTTCTGTTTCAGTTAGTACTCAATATCCTGATTATTAAATATAGTACATGCTTAATTATATCAATTAATAAACAAATGTTTGTTTTCACACAGTTGCCATCAGAGTGTACTTTAGTTTTAAATGATTTAAATAGAGACAGGGTTTTGCCATGTTGCCCAGGCTGGTCTTGAACTCCTGAGCTCAGGTGATCTGCCTGCCTCAGCCTCCCAAAGTGCTGGGATTACAGGCATGAGCCACTGTGCCTGGCTCAGAGTGTACTTTAATATTCCACTGTTCTGACGGACCATAGTTTATTGAAGCAATTATGTTAGGTCATTTCCATTTTTGACAAAATTTTATCAAGTCATAATGTTACTGATGTGGCTTCTTTTTTAGATAGTGGGCATGTACCCAAAAGCCCTTCCACTAAGTAAGAAAAAAATATATATGCCTACCTAGCCCTGTCCCAACTACATACATACATCCTTGGTACTAGGAAAGCACCATTGCCTAGTCAACGGCACACAGGCTTTAGAGACAGACCAACTTGGGTTTGAACCCTAAGCATACCTTTTGTGTGTTTATGTGCCCATGCTTCTTTGATAGAAGAACTAGCTATACCTTTTACGAGTTAAGTGACCTTTGGCAAGTGATAAGTTACTTCCCTTCACACTTTTGCTGGAGCAGAGCTTCCAAATGATATGCAGAAGCACACAGAGATGCCATATACTGAATCTCTCAGCTTTCGGCTAGTTTCAGGAAGAATATGCAAGCAGTCATTTATTCTAATGTGTCACCATATAAAAGATATCAGGAAGCACCGCCTAAAGGAAGCTTCTAAAATCTAAAATCTACGAACTACCTGAAACTAAAATTTTGTGCACAGGTGCATTTTTTTTTTCCCTCTGAACATAAATAGCTTTCATTAGATTCTATGAAGGAATATGAAATCCCCTAAAAGGTTAAAAACTACTGTCCTGAGACAATGTACCATCCTTCCAACTCCTTTTTTCATTTGGTAGTCCTGATATATCTACTAAAGAGCTTAAAATTATATCTAAACTGATAAAATGAAGGACATATGCATGACAATATACATGACAGGTTTCACTTATGTGTCACTGGAATTGTGATGCAGACTCATCGCATTAAGCAGAAGCAGAATCCATTCATTCACAAATTCTGCAAACATGTGAGTTTACTGCATGCCACCATCACCTCATCAGGAAAATACATTAAGTCTTTATTCAATTTTTTGGTAAATATTGAAAATGTATTTATTTCCTAGAAAGTAAATGTCTAGAAGAATCCTTAAAAACTTGTGGAAGCTTAACAGTCACCTATCCAAAGTCCCCCAAGATATTATGAATTAAAATTGACATGAAAGGCTGGGTACAGTAGCTCATGCCTGTAATCCAGCCCTCGGGGAGGCTAGGACAGGAGGATCACTTGAGCTCAGGAGCAAGAGACCAGCCTGGGTAACACAGGGAGACCTTGTCTCTATAAAAAATTTAAAAAATCAGCTGGGCACGGTGGTACGCGCCTTAAGTTCAACCTACTTGGAAGGCTGAGGTGGGAGGATCAATTGAGCCCAGGAGGTCTAGGCTGCAGTGAGTCATGATTGTGCAACTGCACTCCAGCCTGAGAGATAGAGCAAGACCCTGTCTCAAAAAAAAAAAAAAAAAAAAAGTCATGAAAATCATACTTTCCAGGCTACTAACGTAATGGAATTGTTACTATTAATGGTATATTGAAGAGAATGAAAATAACTGACTAGGCAAGTGAATCTTTAAAGACCGGAAGTAAATATAGATTCTTTCAATCAGGTATACATCGTACAACTTAAAACTGAGAAACTTACATACCATAGTCACATTACTATCCAACTGTTGTGATTTCCAGTGACTTCTATGTTTGTTCACATTCTAAAGGAAGAAAAGACGTTAGACGGTACTCCTCAAAAAATGGATAACTGAAATCAGTTTCTGCACAAAATTGTAACCATCTAAAACTTGGAAAATAGGAAAGGTGGGAGGGGTGAGATATAAAAATCCACGTATTGGGTACAGAGTACACTGCTTGGGTGACGAGTGCACCAAAATCTCAGAAATCACCACTAAAGAACTTATCCATGAAACCAAAAACCACCTGTTCCCCAAAACTACTGAAATAAATAAATAAATAAAAATAAACAAAACTTAGAAAATATTTCAAACTGTATTATGTCTAATGATGATAATAATAATTTAGTAATTAATTCATGAATATTCTGTATACTTTAGGATCATAAATTTTATTTTTCCAGCTACAGTCTAAGAACAGAAATAAATCCAACAGGGGCTTAATCAGATTAAATATGACACTTACCTGTCGAACAGTTGAAAACTGTGCCACTTGTTGCTGTTGCCATTGAAGTGTTGGGGAATAACCTTCAGGGGCGGGTTGGCATCCTGAAAGCTAGAGATCAAGTTCACAAATATTAGGATCAACAGTAGTGTCAAAACTAGAATCTCATGCCTCTGCAAAGCAAAGTAAAACCAAGATAAAGTATATAATAAAGATTATACAAAAGCCGGGCATGGTGGCTCACGCCTGTAATCCCAGCACTTTGGGAGGCTGAGACGGGCAGATCACAAGGTCAGGAGATCAAGACCATCCTGGTTAACACGGTGAAACCCTGTCTCTACTGAAAATACAAAAAAATTAGCTGGGCATAGTGGTGGGTGCCTGTAGTCCCAGCTACTCAGGAGAATGGCGTGAACCCACGAGGTGGCGCTTGCAGTGAGCCAAGATCGCGCCACTGCACTCCAGCCTAGGTGACTGAGTGAGACTCCGTCTCAAAAAAAAAAAAAAAGATTATACAAGAAAATAAAATACTTTTTGCAGATGTAAAAAAGTAGGCATTTCACTTTACTATTTATATTCCAGTTAAAAACATTAGGGAAAGAGTCTTAAGTCACCCTTAATCAGAGAAATCTGAAAAGGTTTATAGTTGGAGTGTCTATAAAATCTAAATGACAGGAGCCTGGAGGATATGATCTAGTCCTACCTGCCTTTCTAGAATAGCAAAACAGAAACAAAAAGAGAGATATACCCCAAATAAAGAATTCTGGTATGAAATACAGTTAGATAGAATGAATGAGTTCTCATGTTCAACAGCACAGTAGAGTGACTACAGTTAACAATAATTTATTGTATATTTCAAAACAGCTAGAAGATTTGAATGTTCCCAAAACAAAGAAATGATAAATGAGGTGATAGATATCCTAATTACTCTGATTATTATACATTGTATGCATGTTTCAAAATATCACATGTACTCCATAAATATGTACAATTATTATTATTTTGCCCACACGATAAAGCACGAAATTATGATTATTATATATCAATAAAATAAAAAATAAGAACTTTGGTATGGGCAAAATGTACTTAAAGACGCTTAACTTTAAATTGCCTACTTCTGTTTTCTTTTTTTGAGACGGAGTTTTGCTCTTGTTGCCCAGGCTGGAGCGCAATGGCGCCATCTCGGCTCACCGCAATCTCTGTCTCCTGGGTTCAAGCAATTCTCCTGCCTCAGCCTCTCGAGTAGCTGGGATTACAGGAATGTGCCACCACACCTGGCTAATTTTGTATTTTTAGTAGAGACGGGGTTTCTCCATGTTGGTCAGGCTGGTCCTGAAATCCTGTACTCATGTGATCCGCCTGCCTTGGCCTCCCAAAGTGCTGGGATTACAGGCGTGAGCCACTGTGCCCAACCATACTTCTATTTTCTAAAACAGCACGTACAGCCTGAGCAACATATCAAGACCCCATCTCTACAAAAAAATACAATTAGCTGGGCACTGTGGCACATGCCTGTCGTCTCAGCTACTGGGGAGACTGAGGTGGGAGGATGGCTTGAGCCCACGAGCTCGAGGCTGCAGTGAGCTATGATCATGGCACTGTACTCTGGCCTGTGCAACAAAGCGAGACCCTGTCTCAACCAATCGATCGATCCATCAAATTAGGTATATTAAGACATTCTGTTCCATTAAATGTCCATCAGCTAAAAAATCCTGAAGAGGAATTATAAGAAAAATTATAGTGTCTGAATTAAAATTTCCTGATTACAAATATCAGTTAGAGAAACTACTTTGAACATGAAAAGGAAATTACTATCAACTAGTTAAAATGCCACTCTCCCAGGCGCCTGTAGTTCCAGCTACTTGGGAGGCTGAGGCAGGAGAATGGTGTGAACCCAGGAGGCGGAGGTTGCAGTGAGCTGAGATTGCACCACTGCACTCCAGCCTGGGTGACACAGTGAGACTCAGAGACTCTGTCTCAAAGAAAAAATAAATAAATAAAATAAAATGTCACTCTCCTTTGAGCTTAGGTTAAATAGCACCTCCTTAGAGAGACCTTTGCTGGCCAGGCGTGGTGGCTCACACCTGTAATCCCAGCACTTTAGGAGGTGGAGGCAGGCAGATCACTTCAGGTCAGGAGTTCGAGACCAGCCTGGCCAACATGGTAAAACTACGTCTCTACTAAAAATACAAAAATTAGCCGGGTGTGGTGGCACACACCTGTAATCCCAGCTACTTAGGAGGCTGAGGCAGGAGAAGCTCTTGAACCTGGGAGGCAGAGGTTGTGATGAACTGAGATCGTGCCACTGTACTCCAGCCTAGGCGAAAAATCAAGACTCAAAAAAAAAAAAAAAAAAGGGAAAAAGGGAGTCCTTTTATGATTCCTCTATCTACAGTAGTTGTCATATATTGATTATTATATATGCTTATTTTCTTCATAGCAATAATCACAATATATAATTATTTGTTTGCTTGTTTACTCTCTGTCTTCCTCAGGAGAGTATGTAAACTCTACAAGGGTAAGAACCGTTTTTGTCTTATCCTCTGTTGTATTCCCAGGGCCCGGCACTGTACTCTGCTTAATTAAAGATGTGCTGGATAAACAAATAAATGAAAATGTCCAGAGTGTGCACATAGCTATAAAAGTAAGGCCGGGTATGGTGGCTCACACCTGTAATCCCAGCAGTTTGGGAGGCAGAGGTGGGCGAATCACGAGGTCACGAGTTCGAGACCAGACTGACCAACATGGTGAAACCCCGTCTCTACTAAAAATGCAAAAATTAGCCGGGTGTGGTGGCGAGCGCCTGTAATCCCAGTTACTCAGGAGGCTGAGGCAGGGTAATTGCTTGAAACCGGAAGGCAGAGGTTGCAGTGAGCCGAGATCGCACCACTGCATTGCAGCCTGGGCAACAAGAGTGAAACTCTGTCTCAAAAAAAAAAAAAAAGTGTAAGACATCTGGGTTTCTATTCTTAAAAAAAGTGAAATTTAGTCAAATTCAGATTAAATTATATTAAACTAAGATTAAACACCAATCCAATAACTGGAAAAAGTTTCCTTAAAAATAAAGGGGTCAGGCGAGGTGGCTCATGCCTGTGATCCCAATGCTTTGGGTGGCAGAGGCGGGAGGATCGCTTGAGGCCCAGAGTTCTAGACCTGCTAGCAACAGAGACTCACTCTCTATAAACAAACAAACAAGCAAAAAGAAAAAAGATAGCATAAGTTAAGACATTTAAAGACTCCTTTGAAAGGACTGGATAATGTCCCTGAAGTAAGATGGGCAAGGCTCCACAAAGGCTAGAGTTACAGAAAGCCTCTTTAGAGGCAGTAAATGCCAATTGTGTTTCTGGAGGAAAAAGTACAAGCGAATGTCTAACTTTGCAGCGAGTAGTCAAATCTTACATCACAATTGATACTGTCGGATACTATAGGGAGCGTCAGTCTTTTAATTGGGGGATTGGGGGTAAGCTCCAGATAGTTAATAAAACTCACAGAAATATTCACACTTTGCTTCCTTTTCAACTTCTTTGGGTCAATTTGAGCTACCACAACATCTGGACATTGAGCTGCTTCGATCCTACAAATAAGTAATAAACGCGAGAAATTAAATTTCTATTGTGCTTTGCTCAGGTGTAGTAAAACGAGCGATCCATTTCCACAGTTCATTGTGAAATTAGAAAAAAAATTCAGACTTCCAATTGAGGAACTAAACAATATATTTCTGAAATTATCTGGATCGAAAACAAATCTAAGAGCACACATCTTGATACGTGCAATCACGTTCAACAGAAACTCGCCCACGTTAGGATGTAATCCAGAATCCTGAATAGACCCGAACTCGCAGGAGACTGGAACGGGAATAGAGCACCGGGGGCTGTACCCAGGGGCAGTGCAGAAGACCAGCCCACCCGCCCAGGGCCAAATCACTCACTGGACCCGCCTCAGGTATTCCTGAGGCGTCCTCGGGGGTACCGAGGGATCGAAACCTTCCGTCAAGTCGCAGGGCTCTACCGGCAATAGCCGAGGCATCAACTCTTCCACTGCGGACTCCGCTGGTACCCACGCCATGGTTTTCAAACCAGCCAGTTCCGCTCAGCGCTTGCGCCCATTCTAGGTCACAGCGCAGGCGCACAAGTAGACACCTTAGGCGCGGAGCTGAGCAAGCGGCAGTTTAGGGAGCGTTAACTGCGCATGAACAAACTGCTGCTTGCCTCAAGGTTAAGGCTCCGGTGGTGTAATAAAGGATCTGAGAATTTAATTCCTAGCTGAATTGGTTCGAACGCGTTTCTGGGTCTTTTACCCTCTGTTTTGTTTTCTAACGCTGGGTAAAGGCCGAGGGTTAGCAACTTTTATGCATCTCTAGTAGTGAGGGATCCTTAGAAATGTTTTTTGAATTAATGGACAATATTACGGTAATTATCATTCATGGAGCTCTAAATTCTTAAACCCTTAATAAACACACGCATTTTCTCATTTGATTCTTAGAACAATCTTGTGAAGTGGGTAGTAATATTCCGCTTTCTTAGGGCAGGGACTGACCTTCCAAAGGGGAAGAACCAATTCCAACCTAGATTTATCCGACGCCAAATGAATGAAAAATTAATTTTCTACAGGAATTTCTAGTGCTTGACCACTTCAAAGATCACTGTATGTTCATTTGGAATGAATATTACTCCTAGAATAGCCAGCACTTTTTAATTTTCGTTTTAAAGAAAAATCTCTTCGTTTAAATACAAATAGTGAAAAAAATGAAACTAATGCTAACACCCAGAAATTAAAAATATTAGGTCAGTCTTGTTAGGTAGATAGTATTATTATCTCCATTTCATAGGTGAGGAAACAAGGCAGGAATGTGCAAGAAACAAGTATAATACCTGATTATTTCTAAACAAATACAATTGAGTGAATACAATTGACTTTTATTTTCTAACATTTATGTTTATTTTAGAAGGTTTAAAAAATTTTTTTAATTTATAGCACTGCCTTTGGCTTGCAAGGAACTGATTTTAAACCAGGATGTAAATCTAAATTGAAGATAAAGTGAGGATAGTCCTTAGCTTATTTAAGTACTTAATGCTTAGGAACTGCAACTAAACAGTTGGGACACTGGGAAAGATATCACCTGGCTGCAGACTACAGTTATTTGGTTAACAAATTTTCACTGGTTTTGGGAAAAACAGACTTAAAAGAGAATAGGGAGAAATACTCCTGTCCTCCAACATTTTGGTGATAATCAAGGACAAATATGAAAAAGTAGTGACTTGAGGACTAAACTGATTTTTTTATTTTGCCCAAATTCCTATCTAAGGGGTCTGGGGAGTCATGCTCTACAAAGCATAAATTCTCATCAGATGGGTTTTATTTAACCCTATATATCATGATTCACTTTTTCAACCTCACTTCAGCATAACATTATGAGACAAAGAAGAAGAAAAAAATATTTTACCCCAAAACATGTTTCTTTGCCCTATTTTGAAAAGGCCCTGCAAAGCTGTTCTTTGTGGGGGAAAATTTGCATCTGTAAAGAATCTTGGCCAGGTGCGGTGGCTCACGCTGTAATCCCACCACTTTGGGAGGCTGAGCTGGGCAGATCACCTGAGGTCAGGAGTTCCAGACCAGCCTGGCCAACATGGTGAAACCCCATCTTTAGTAAAAATACAAAATATTAGCTGGGCATGGTGGCGGGCGCCTGTTAATCCCATCTACTTGGGAGACTGAGGCAGAAGAATCGCTTGAATCCAGGAGGCAGAGGTGGCAGTGAGCCGACATTGTGCCATTGCACTCCAGCCTGGGCAACAAGAGTGAAACTCTATCTCTAAATAAATAAATAAATAAATAAAAATAAAATAAAATATTACCCAGCCTTGACCTCTTGGACTCAAGTGATCTACTCACCTTGGCCTATCAAAGTGCTAGGATTACAGGTGTGAGCCACTGGGCCAGGCCACAAATACATATATTTTTATTTTTATTTTTTACTGTAAATTATTAGCATTTTCTCTCAATTTTTTCTGGAGAAAAGGTTACCTTGCGAATTAACTACCAGTGGAACAATGGTTAACATTGGAGTTTGTGCATAAGTATGTGTCAGAACTACGCAAGGATTAAGGAAGAAAACAGACAATACGAGAATGGAACAAAGGTTGTCCTGGGAAATAAAATAAATTATTTTCCAAAAGAATTATTTTCCAAAAAATAAACTATTTTCCAAAAGAAAGAAATACCCTATATTATATGGGTAATAATATAGCCTCGTGCTACTTCAAATCTAATTTGATTTAAAAGAATTAGTAATGAGATTTTGAGCAGAGTTTTCAGAAATTGCACCAAGTATTTGTTAATGCTTTAGTGAAATATGGAACACATGAGATAAGCTATATTTGGCTGATGAAGTTATTCTGAAAAAATGCTTACTATTTGGAAAGGTGAACTTCTGAAACTACAATAACATTTCATCTATTCCCAGGAAGAAATATTCCTAAGGTACTGAACTACTTTTGGTGCCCTGTTTTTAGAGATTTATCGCCTGTTTTTAGTTTATGATGGAAAAATTCTTGTTTCAGTATTTCTCACACAATTGGTTAGCTGTAGAAGTTACATGAGGATTGTGAGAATAGGACATTCTGTTGTGTGTTTATTGATGACGTGGCTGTTTATTGATGATATGGAGGCATCTGTTAAGTCAACCTTACACAGCTGACTGCAGTTTATCTCTGTCTCTGTATTTTCTTTTCTTTTTTTCTTTTTTTTTTTTTTTGAGATGGAGTCTCGCTCTGTCACCCAGGAGTGCAGTGGTACTGCTCACTGCAACCTCTGCCTCCCAGGTTCAAGCGATTCTCCTGCCTCAGCCTCCTGAGGAGCTGGGATTACAGGCACCCGCCACCATGCCCGGCTAATTTTTGTAATTTTTGTAATTTTAGTAGAGATGGGTTTTGCCATGTTGGTCAGGCTGTTCTTCAACTCCTGATCTCAGATGATCTACCTGCTTCAGTCTCCCATGTCTCTGTGTTTTCTGTCCCTTTAAGGAGCTCAGTTATTCTCAAATGTTAGTGTGTGTAAGAATCATCTGGCTGGGCGTGGTGGTTCACGCCTGTAATCCCAGCACTTTGGGAGGCCAAGGCAGGCGGATCACTTGAAGTCAGGAGTTTGAGATCAGCATGGCCAATATGGTGAGAGCCCCCTGCCCCACTCTCTACTAAAAATACAAACAATTAGCTGGGCATGGTGGCATGCGCCTGTAATCCCAGCTACTTCGGAGGCTGAGATGGGAGAATTGCTTGATCCCAGAAGGTAGAGGTTGCAGTGAGCCGAGATAGCACCACTGTACTCCAGCCTGGGCGACAGAGCGAGACTGTCTCCAAAAAAAAAAAAAAAAAAAAGAAAAAGAAAAAAAAATCTGGAAGAAATTATTTAAAATATAGAGTCCTGTATTTTATAGCTCTTTCTTCCAGAGCTTCTGTTTCTGCTGATGGGGTGTGGGGCTAAGAAACTGACATTTTAAGAGGCGTTCTAGGTGGGATTTTTTTTTTTTTTTTTGAGACACAATCTTGTTCTGTCGCCTGTTGCCCAGGCTGCAGTGCAGTTGTGATCTCTACTCACTGCAACCTCCGCCTCTCCTGTGTTTGAGTGAGTCTTGTGCCTCAGCCTTCTGAGGCCACCATGCCTGGCTAATTTTTGTATTTTTAGGAGACACAGGGTTTTGCCACATTCCAGCTCTCTGGCGCTGTTTTTCTCTTTCTCAGGGATAAATCTTTCACATGGATTATCTCGTTTAATCTTCACAATACATGCAATTTAAGTGGTAGTTACTACTGTTATCTTCATTTGCAGGTGAAGAAACTGTGCAACATGCCCAGATCATACAACAAGGAAGTAATGGAATTGAGATTCTATCCTCGGCACCAAGCCATTGCTCTAAATCTCTATGCTGTACAAGATACAGCTGAGTAAAGATTAGCAAAAACAAAAAAAACAACAAAAAAAGTCCCAGGGAAGGTTCCTGTGAGTCTTTATGACCCACTGACCATAAATTAGAGAGAGGCAATGAAGATTAAATGCAGAGAGATCCAGTTTGCTTCCTATTCTTAGTACACTGCCATCTAGGCATGAGTAGTCTCCTCATCTCCATTGTCCGAGAATGCTATCCTCTGGCTCTGAGGTCCAGATCCACTAAGAGAGAATGCTGACTTGATGTCGGAAAATCAAGACAAGGTCTAGTTTAATTATGGAACATGAAACAAAACCTTTACTCCTCTTTTAAAGTAAAAATGCAAATCTGTTCCCTTTTAGAGTGGGATTTCCCTCCTTTGTGATATGGCTTTTTAATCACTCTTATGTTCTTTTTTTTTTTTTTTTTTTTTAAACGGAGTCTTGCTCTGTCGCCCAGGGTGGAGTGCAGTGGCCAGATCTCAGCTCACTGCAAGCTCCACCTCCCAGGTTTACGCCATTCTCCTGCCTCAGCCTCCTGAGTAGCTGGGACTACAGGCGCCCGCCACTACGCCCGGCTGGTTTTTTGTATTTTTAGTAGAGACGGGGTTTCACCGTGTTAGCCAGGATGGTCTCGATCTCCTGACCTCGTGATCCGCCCGTCTCGGCCTCCCAAAGTGCTGGGATTACAGGCTTGAGCCACCGCGCCCGGCCCCACTCTTATGTTCTTTATAAATCAAATAAATAAAAGATAAAAAGAAAAATAAACCTGCCAGTAGATACTTATGTTTTCTTTGGGCCACTGTAAACGGTTTAAGGGCAAATCAACAAATTTCATTTGTTTTTTTCTTTTTTTTTGAGACGAGTCTCGCTCTGTCACCCAGGCTGGAGTGCAGTGGCGTGATCTTGGCTCACTGCAAGCTCCACCTTCGGGTTCATGCCATTCTCCTGCCTCAGCCTCCTGAGTAACTGGGATTACAGGCACCTGCCATCATGCCTGGCTAATTTTTCTATTTTCAGTAGAGACGGGGTTTCACCGTGTTAGCCAGGATGGTCTTGATCGCCTGACCTCATGATCAGCCCACCTCGGCCTCCCAAAGTACTGGGATTACAGGTGTGAGCCACCGTGCCCGGTCCCTCATTTGTTTAGTTTTATTAAATGAACTCTTAAATTCTGGGATTGGTCAGAGTGGCAGAATGAAGCGATATTGGAGTATACCACTGT